TCAAACTGCTCACTAATTTGAAACATAAAAGACATTAAAAAATAGATGAAACTATTTTAAATTGATTATATTTTATTTAAAAAAAAATAATATCTTGTCAGGTTTCCTCTACTTTCTAAAACAGAATCAACCCTTCATGGCACACTACCCATTAATTTATTAATTTTTTTAATATTAACGATCTTCAAATTGGAAAAAATCAATCCATTTAGTATTTTTGTCCATAAATTGTTGGAGTATTTGATATATACTCCCCTAAAAAAAGTATCGACTCACTTGATGATCCGTGAAAATAATCAGGTAAATGGGTAATACAAATACTCATTTTTTTACTAAGAAAATCAGTGTTGTGTATTAGTTAGAAAATGTTTAACGAAATGATTCCTATAACATTCTAAAATACCACATCGGAACAATCGTTATTGATAATTTTATGATGTTTAAAAGTCAAATTAAAATTTTTCGAAAATTTTTTGAAAAAGTTGCACTTAGAGCTATTTTAAGATACAATGTTTTAATGCATCTTGGGAACTTAGAAAATGTTGTTCCATTTGTTTTCAAATATATAAATATGAATGTTCATAATTATTGGCAGAATATTCATAGAGAATTAATACAAAACGCAAAAAAAATTGTAACGAATTTCATCCACAATTTGCATAATATTTTACATAATAAATTTTTATTAAATTTATATCAAAAGTATCCAAAAAGTATAAATATTTGATTATTTATTCAATATTTTGTCAGGTTTCCTTTTGAATCAGTAATTTGCTCAATAGGCTTATCTTGATTTTTTTGGTAATTCTTTTTACTTGTCTGACATCACGATCATTTAAGGCTGAAGGTCTTCCACTTCTTGGAGCAATAGTAGTTTGACCTTCTCCTTTAAATGCTTGTATTGCACGAGTTACTTGTGACTGAGAATGATGGAGTGCACTGGCAATGTTACGAGTGCTTTCACCTGCTTCCCAACGCCCAATTATTCTTCCTCGTTCAAAGTCTGTTAATTGAGACATGATGTTTTAATTGAAATAACAAATTGAAAGTTCAATCTTTTTTTTTAAAAAAAAAATCTAGTTTTGGTTAGATATTTCAGCCGTAATTGCCCTTTAAAGTTTGTTCGCACATAATGATAATTATCTTGCATAAAAAATTATTTACGATTTTTTTTGCGTTTTGTATTAATTCTCTATGAATATTCTGCAAATAATTATGAACATTTATATTTATATATTTGAAAACAAATGGAACAACATTTTCTAAGTTTCCAAGATGCGTTAAAACATTGTATCTTAAAATAGCTCTAAGTGCAACTTTTTTGAAAAATTTTTGAAAAATTTTAATTTGACTTTTAAACATCATAAAATTATCAATAACGATCAGTCCGATGTGGTATTTTAGAATGTTATAGGAATCATTTCGTTAAACATTTTCTCACTAATACACAACATCGATTTGCTTAGTAAAAAAATGAGTATTTGTATTACCCATTTACCCGATTATTTTTGCAGATCATCAAGTGAGTCAATACTTTTTTTAGGGGAGTGTCTTTGCGATTTTTGCAAGAGAACTACCACCTATTCTTAGAACTAAAGCCAAGTGTATTTATACCTCTTGGGGGCAGTACAAATAATGTGATGTGTACTAATCTACTCTCCAATAATATGCTTATCAACTAATTACTAATTCTAAATAAATATTACATCAGATGAGTAATACATGAAATACATAAGTAGAAATATGAATATAAAGATCCTCAGTATATAACATTACATGATATGTGGTGCAACCATTACAATAATATGGGGCATGGACAATAGAAATGATCCAAATGTCAAAAATCATAATTTTGAGTTAATAACATTTCTATATATAATTCATTGTAAAGATTAATTTTAGCTTAAAAACTATACTCACTCTACTTAATAAAATTTTGAGTTATTTAAAGAAATTGCAAGACATATGGGGCATACTGCAACAAAACCAGACAAAGTGAACATTTGTATTACCAAGGATTTCAGGGATCAAAATTTGTAATGTGATTATTAAAATTTCCCATTTGTTTAATATTAAGTGATATATAGAATTACCTCTATATAAAAATAACAATATGAAGCTAATTTACATTAGGTCTACCATGGAACCCAAGAATTATAGTACTATCAGAAGTATTTTGAAGAAAGAACAAGGTGAAAA